TAATCCTAGTATCCATTACAAGGCCAAATTCAACTGAAAACATAACTTGCAGCAGCCCCTATGATTGTGCCAAACAAACCATTTGTACTTAGATACTCAGTGTCCTATAAGACAGTTGTAAGTTCATTCACATGCCTTGTCAATCTTTGAGGTAAACAAATGTAGGGTTTCACAATCAGGATTTGCAACAAAATATTGGAAGAAAGAGGGAGAAACATAAATTCTAATCACTAAGTACTCACTGTAATATACTTTTCGTGACCTTTGTGTTATTTGTTTTATTTCAGTAGAATCAAAATTAACCCAAGCGTTTTTTTCGTGTAGTGTTGCAATTTTAAAACATATTATTTATTTTGTTCTGAATTAAAAAGCTGTATTTAAAGGCTCAGATCACATCCTAATCGAATGCACTTTTTGCCTTTTGTGATCCACTAGAGCATCAACATTAAGCCTATGATATGTTTTACAGATGCTATGTGAGATTGCAACGAGCCAAGAAAACTGCATGCATGGGCCGAATGTACGAAAATTAAATGCATGTAAATAGTTGTCGATTCGTTTGTCTTGTCATTATACTGTATCAAAGCTAGAATAATAATAATTGATTACTGTACATTATTTTAGCAAGACTCCTTTACCTAAGAATTATTGTCTAAAAAACACATTTTGTAGATACCTTTTGTGTGTTAAGACTATAAAAATCCTATCAAATCTACACTGATGATCAACAAAGGAATTACCTGTCACTGTGGCACAGTGGATATGGGAAAATCAAAACATATATTAATAATGGTAAAAAAAAAATCAATATTGGCATTTCTGGTAACTCCTTGGAATAAAAGTGAGCAAAAGTAGCTTCACACAGCATAATGTCTCTGAGTCTCTTGACTCAAGTACCCAAGTTGCAGTAGGCTGTTCAGGCTTTGATTGGCTTATGTTTTTGGAGTGTAGCTACTCAGATTTTTAAATCTCTGTGGATGGTACTGCCTTAAGTCACATGCTTCTGCTTCATATAGTAGGACAGGGACTGGGAGCTCCAAACCATTTACCAGTTGTAGGCATTAACAGTCCGCTTGCTTCCATCCTTCTTTGCCTCAGTGGCAGCCTAACATTAAATAGATATAAGCTTGGTTGCATGACTGTCCAGGTGTAAGTTTAGGCATTTTCAAACCTTTCTGCACTGCGCCATTGCACCCCTTTGATTTTGCTTACTTGTTTTCTCATGTATGGATTCCATGCATAGCTTGCGTACTCTTAACTAAATAAGGTATGCCAATAGTGACAAATATATTCACCCTATAATGTAGCTCCTTTAATTTCTCCAGGAGTAGATAATGAGACTCAGCAGGGGGGGGAGGTGGTAAGTTGATGCATTATGTTTGGGTTTAGTCTCTGTTTTACATAGTAAAAGAATTTTTTGCATCACAAATTTTGGTATGCTCATGGTCCTTTTTGCTTCGTTGCAAATGACTTCCTCTTTGATACAAGCTCTAGATAAAGCGTGAGATGTTTTTAGACATTTTTAATTGCTAAAGATTTAGATCTTTTAAGTATACTGCTTTTGATATTAATTACATTGATCACTGTCTATTAATGTCTCAAAATTCCATCATTCATGACAGTCATATACTTTAGCCAAATCACAATAATAATTAAGCAGGTTAGAATATTCTTAATTAACTCTAGCTTAATAAACTCTTCGATTACTTGAAGCTTTTACATACAGTTCTATACAGTAAACCGAACAGAAAGATACCACAGAAGATAGTAAATGGGCAAAACATTTTGGTGGCAGGGAAGCATTTAAATCTAGGGGTAAGGGGACTAGAAGTTAAGCCAGGCAAAGATAGTGTGGTACTGGGGGTACCCACCCTGGACAGGAGTCCCACTAAGTCTCCATGGGGTGAGGTTCATATCCCCTAGTGACTAGGAACTTAAGGGGAACCAGGATGGGGGCCACCTGGGTGGAGTACTGTGATCAGGTGAGACCATGGTATGTCCACAGCCTGAAGGGTATATTTTTCCAGACCTGTCTCCAAGGGCTAAGACTTACTCTGGGATGAAGTGCAGCCAGGGATTGTACTTACCCGTCACATATACTACTTTTAATGGAAAGCAAGACAGGAGTTACATCCCAGCAACCAAAAGGAAAGTTGACCTATTGTCCAGTATAATTACACTATTGTGTATAATATCAATGATGAATTTTAAAAATACAAATATAGAGTTAGTCTAATTTAGTAAAAGTAAGGTGTAAAAAAGAGAGCAAAAAAAGGTTCCAGTCCAGTGGGAGAGTAGTAGGAAAAAGACACTGTTGTGATTGAATCATTAGGCCCTGAGAAAATTGGCGGGAAAAGACAGTGACGCTTGCGCATGATGAGCATGTGGTAATATGAATGAAGTAGAATTATGGAGATCGAGGAGGGTGCAGCCGAGAGAACACCCTCCAAGATCTCCATAATTCTTCATAAGATACTCAGCCTCATTCAATTTTAATTGTTAAGTAACAAGTGGTCATGTAATCGACTATTTCCTCTATTGTTTGAAAATCACAACCAACGATTCCCACCTCTCGCAACATGTGTTTTTCTCCATATCAAAACATTAACCCTAAAAAGTCGCTGGACTAGTGTCATTCTAAGAGAGACTATTTTAATGGAACCGTTTTTGCAAGAAGAATATTGGCCAGTTCACATTGTTTGGATCTATAGTAAGAAAAACATTTGCTATCTGGTGAGAAATTCAAGTCAGAAGATTTTTTGATAAAATAGGACTTTTGCGGTCACGTAAAGCAGTTAGAAACAATTTTTCTAAAATGAAACTGGAAGACTTCTTTGTTATAATTAGCAATTATTGGATAAAGCTAACACCCTCCTAGGTCTTCCAGTAGATTTCTTCATTATTCATTTAAAATATTTTCAAGTGAAAACATGCATACCTCGATTTATGCAAAGTTCTCGTATCCATAACACTAATCTGTTCCCTGACAGTTTCAGGATATGAAAGAAGGTCCGGTAAGGAGTGTTAATGCTTGCAGATATTCCTCAGCTGTCATTCGTCGAGTACTATTTTTTGCTAATGCTGGATAGCTGACCTTTCTTTTGCCATAAGCGTCTTTGTCCACCTAACTGTTAGCATTCTTATCTCCAGGGCCTCTTCTCCCCCGTCGGACAGAAAGCTCTAGGGCCGAGAATAATAACCAACGAGTAATAAGGACACTGAGTGCCGGCCACAGAAAATGTCCGTATTAACAAGGTGTCCCTATTAAGCAGGTTGAATTTAAAGAAATTGTAAGGGCTTTCTTTCCTCGGGGACAAAGCAAAACTGTTCGTAATAACAAGGTGTCTGTATTTTCAAAGCGGGTTTCCGTAAAGCGGGGTGGCTTGACCGCATTTTTTACAAACGTAAAGTAGCCCACTTATCAGTATATAGCTTTCCAAAAACGTCCTTCGTCCTCCGCTCGCATAAACTTGTGAGGTCGACTTGTGGCAAGAAATAATCTAATCAATACAAGAACATTTTATAAGATATATCACATATATTTTTAACATTTTCTGGAGGAGTCGTAATGACAAGCATAATCATAAATCCAATTGTCCTTGCTCACAGTCCAAGTCATAGTGTTCTAAATTTAGCAAACTGTGAGGGCATCGAGGTATTAATATCAATTTGGGGTCTCCTTAATGAAAATGATTTTTAAAATGACGGGATTTCGCATCCATGAACCCTCTCATCACAGAAGTGAGAAGTTCTCTACCGTGTACTGATCTTACTGCTAAAGGAGATGATATATCTTGGGTAGGCATTGTGTCCACCAGGACAAGGAGCATAGGTACCCCCCACATACACACACACTTCTCAGAGCAGCCTTAGTATATTACCTCATGCGCATAGTACGCTATTATCATAAGTTGTAGGCTATTAATTTTCGTAACGCGTCACTGGCAATCAAAGGAGGGCAATATATATTACATATTGTTTAGATTTTTTATGAAGAGCAGGCTGGTGCCTGTTGAAGTGCAGTGTTCACTTGCGTTACCGTATTTCTTCGAATAACAGCCGTCCCTCGATTAATTGTCTCCCTCGAATAATCGCCCCCCATGGACGGAAATAAAAATGATCGGCTCCCCTCCCGCTCGTCTCGCATTTTTTTTCTCTTTTATCGCCTCTCTGTCAAGTGTAAGAGTAATGTGACCCAGCAAAACTGATCAGTGACGATTCAAGCCATGAAAATTAATCAGGGAACTAAAGTTTGAACCCTTAAAAAGCCCATGTTCAGATAATTTGATGTGATTAGGGCACGACTTCTAGAGAGCAATATTTGAAATAATCGCCTCCCTCAAATAATAGCCCCCTTTTTGTGCGAAAAAAGAAATAATCGCCCCTGGCTGTTATTCCAGTAAATAGGGTAACTTAAAATGCAAATCGGTAAATAACTCGGATTACGCCACGGTTGGATGGTAAGGGGTAACCCCCACATTATACGCATGCGTGCTAACAAATTCCTATCTGTATTATTTAGCTTGTTAGAATTAGTTTTACTGTTTGTTACAAGTGTATGATCAGGGGCGGATCCAGGATTTTTCTTAGGAGCGGGTGCACCACTAACCTGACCGATGACGTGAAAAATTTTAAAAGCGAATACGAAGAAGAGGGCTTTTGACTAGGAAATAACATAATGTGAACTGCTGAGAATACATATCAAACGATAGAGCAGATTTTGTATGTCTGTCAAGCGACTGCACAGTGTTAATTAGAAAGCGGCCGCAGGTCATCCCAGGGAGGGGGGGTGCGGACCCCCTGCACCCTCCCCCTGGATCTGCCCCTGATGATGTTTTTGACAAGTAAGTTTTTGACGATCCCTACACTGTACTGACCTTAAACGAGAACAGTAAATTTATGTTGGATTTTTTATTATATTTTTTGTTCATGTTTTTTCTAAGGTGTCCAATGCAAAAGCCATTCACAATAACACAAGAAGTTTCTGTCACAAGTGTAGTGAACCATTGAATGTGCATCAATCAAATTTGGCTTTATTGGTATGTATTCTCTGCATGTTTTATTATTTCTTGCTGTCTGTTGCAATTGTTTTGTTCATAAGTCAGTTCTACAGTTCTTCCTCGGACAGCATGGAGAAGTGAGCTTTGAAGTGTAGATATGGTGCAGAATGAACCGTTTAGTTGAAAGAATGAATGATCTGAAGCAAATAACAGACTGTATTCATTTTCCATGAATTGTAGACCTGTTTGACGCGACACAAGAACACAAATCGACTGATTAGTTTGTTTGCGCATTATTGATCTTATCATGGACAGGCAATCCTACAGCGATGTTAGTAAAAAGAGGTCTTGCTTAGACACAATGTTTTTGAATTATTTACAAAGTATAGGAATGCAAAAGCAGATGACAGTTATAGTGGAAAGACTCTTTGACTGAATAGTTTCTAATTTAATTTGGGTGCCACAGACTGAGTTTTGTAGTATGGTGCAGAATGATCCGTTTAGTTGAAAGAATGAATGATCTGAAGCAAATAACGGACTGTATTCATTTTCCATGAATTGTAGGCCTGCTTGACGCGACACAAGAACACAAATCGACTGAGTAGCTATTGATAAAGGTTTGTCATTATGGCGCTTTATAACGAACTTTTAACTTCAATACTTAATTCTCATAGCTGATTATATAGAAATTGTTTGCGCATTATTGATCTTATCATGGACAGGCAATCCTACAGCGATGTTAGTAAAAAGAGGTCTTGCTTAGACACAATGTTTTTGAATTATTTACAAAGTATAGGAATGCAAAAGCAGATGACAGTTATAGGGGAAAGACTCTTTGACTGAATAGTTTCTAATTTAATTTGGGTGCCACAGACTGAGGTTCTGTACTACTAATAAAAAAATTAAAAGAATTAAACACCTTTCTAAAAGACTACTTTAAGAGCCAATGTCGGAAAATATCGAGAATCTCAAATCAGTTCCAAAAATTCCAATTTTGGCTGATACCACCCAAACATCCTTTTAGCGGAACTATTTCAAGAAACGATATTAAGAAATCTCCAAGCGCTTTACATTTTGAGAATTTTAGAAAAGTTCCAAAATTCGCAAAAAATACATTTTTTAATTAGGGAAACGGGTGCAACTTTCAACATATTTCAACGAAACAGTACAAGCGCGCCAAAGCTCCTATTGACTTGATATTACTTATGTATTTAGCAGACATCCACAGCTTCAAGACCCCGTAAAAAGGTTTTGCAAAATAACTATTTTGATATAGTTTCTGGCTTTTATTGTGTGCGCTCTGATTGTGTGTTGTTTTGGCAGTCAAAATAACGCCCAACTTCAACCGTCAAAAGTCGATCCTGGTATGTCACAAATTGAAAAAACTACTATACCAAACGAAAGACCTGTTATTTTTTTAATTACACCTGAAGTTTTAGCTCTGCGAATTTAAACGTGTGCGAGTAATAAAATTTCAACTTGTGCCCCCTAAGTCGCCTGTCCGCGACAAGAACAGGAATGTAAACAAAGGAAAACATATGCAAATCGAGGAGAAAATCATACGGAAGTTATAACTTACCCCTCAAAGCGCAAAAAATTGATGGAATTCTGTTACCTTAACAGGTATTTCTATCTGAGAGACTAATAAAACGAAATTATCCGTCCAATAATAATAAAAAAGGTATAAAAAGGGCTGGAGGGCTATGGTCATGAAATCGCCTCGGATGCATCGGAACTCGTGTGTATGGTTCCGGAGGTAAAAAAGCTTCTAAAGAAGCTTTCAAAATGCACCATGGAGCAAGCAAACAATGTCAGTAAAAGTAGACTGATATTTTGAGGTATTATAGAAATGAACCATTGTAAGTTTATTTTTACAAGTGACCCTTAAAATTACAAGAGATAAGAAATAAAATGACAGAGGCGGGCCGGCCATCGACAGTTCCATTTTAAATGGTCCGTCCCTTGGCTATCGTACTCAATGTTAAGTCCAAAAAACCGAAACAAGATTCAACGAAATAAAACATATATTACAATAATCTTTAAAAAGTATAATGCTAACTTGAGAATTAGATTTCCCGCATCGCAAAGTTTTAATTATGTAAATATCAGGAATGTTTACTTACTGATCTTATGTCGTGTTACATGTTCCAAGTTCCACAGGAGAAGAGTAAAACCCTCCGTCTTGTCTATACATTTCATAAAAAAAGACTAACTTATTTGTTTACTAGAACTATAGATAGGGAGTTAACAATCCTCCCATAAACACAGAAAACGAAGAAGCCAATTCATCTCGTTTTTTTGGTGTTGTGTTACCTGTCACATTTTTCAAGTCACGTGCTTTGCGGTACACGGTTTGTGAAAATGAAATACAAAACATATTATTTAGTTATTTCTTTTAAGGTAGTCACCTGCAAAACATCGCACAATTGTCAATGAATAAAGAAGGACTGTGCAATCAAAACTAACAGAATCTCCTGGAGCACACAAGCCATCTCCGTTTAAATTTTCATTAACAAAAACATCATCTTGTATTCAGAATTTCCCGTTTTTTCCAGTATGCAAGGAAAAATTCTGAAAAAATACTTCATGCACGCCGAGTAGACTTTAAAATACTCCCGCATTGGCCTAACAAAGTTCAAGTAAGGGAAATGTCAACGATAAAGTATTCTTCGACATGCGGCTCTAAAATACTCCACCCCCATAACTTTTGTAATGGTCCGTCTCTTACAACTAAAGTATTTGAGATTTTCGTAGGCTCGATTACCAGCAGTTGCTTAGGAAATGAGCCCGCGCTCCTCCCCCAAAAAGTCTCTTCTCAGAGAGGAGGGAGCGGCTAAGCAGTTGTCCCTTTCGTAAACGGTCACTGCCATTTTTAAGACACTTTTTGACAATTTTTGACCTGTTATTGAGAGTGTTTCTATTAGAAAGAAAGAAAATCGGGACCCACGGTCAAAGCCCACGGTATCTTTCGTATCCTAATCTCTCTCCCTTACCTCTCTACTTTTTGACTACCACATCGACGCGCCAAAATTCCGAAAAATTTAACAATAGCAGCGGCCCAAACCGAGCCTAAGATCTCCACTTATTTTTCTTTACTTTCGTAAAATATCACTTAAAAACGACCGACAGATTGATGCCAAGTAAAAAACGGGGACAGGACTTAGTCCCGGGAGGGGGGGTACTCCCTTATACAAGCTATATAGGTATGTGCCGCCCCAGCGGGTAGGGTTTTTGGGCCTTTTTGGTCTGAAAACGGGTACACACTTTGCCCAGTTTGGTATGGAATCGGGTATGGTTTTCGAAGGAACTACGGGAGTGTATGAAAGTTTTTATCGTTTCAATTCCAAATGAGAACGAAAGAAAGATAATTATGCGAATTCGAGATGGATTTAATTTTTTTTTTGTTTACGCTTTAATCTTAGTAATGATAACATAATTTTAACCTAAAGGCCAGGTCTGAAAACGGGTATGGATTTTAGTGGTCGCGTCTGAAAACGGGTGTGGAAAATGACATTTTTTGGTCTGGAGTAGGGTCAGAATTAGGAGAAACGGGCGGCACACCCCCACCAAGAATTTTCAGGAGTACACCACCCCCGGACTAGCGTCACCTATCCAGTGCTCAATTTCAGCCTTGGCTTTGGCATCCACAATTACTGATGGCTTCTTTGAGCAACTTCAGGTATGGAGCTTTACGGCGAATTGGTTGATCGGGAATGTCAAGATTGAGGCTTTGACAAATCACCTGAAACAACGAAACCTTCAAGCTCTTTAATGTGTCTTCTTCTGCCATGGCACAGATGTTGTACTGGTAAAAAACAATGGGATGTTGGAGTGTGACAGTAGCCATCACTTGGTCTCTAGCCGTGGAAAAGTTTATTTCATCTTCAATGGCGGTAAGGTCGGCTTCATGGGTGAGGGTCTGTTGGCGAGTTGTCGCGGAAAGGCGAGAGAAATATGAAGAAATCTGCTGAGAGGTCAGAAATTCGGTTGATTTAAAAAGCCGCTCGCCATTCGAACCATGGGCACGTCTCATGTCACGTGCTACAAGACTTGCGTCGACTTTCCGTCCAGTGGACTGACCAATGTTGAATTTAGCAGTGAGGTAGGCCTTCTGCTTTTCACTAAAACGGTACGCCTTCTTAGCTGGTCGTAACGCCCATCCCTCTGTTAAACGTTCTCTGGATTGTTTGTTTGCAACGCTGGTGGTTCTTAAGGTTGGCACGACACCGACACCCTCTTCTAAAACCTGCTGATAGCCAAGCTTAGCAAGATCCATAAGAGTGTGTTTTTCCAAGGACCGTATGCATTTCTCAGAGGACAGATGTTTCGTTAATGCCGAATGTCTTTGGAAAACCCTTGTACATCCACTCTCGGGGCAAGTGTATAAACCATGGTTGGTCTGACTCTCCTGTACGTCACTGGATCTCTCTCTTGTTTTGGGAGACTCGTCGTGGTCAACATGCTTTTTCTCTTTATGGCCGAAAGACTTGAATTTCCCCGGAGAAAATGTAGATTCTAGCCACCTGTTTTCGGATTCTGTAAATAGGGAAATTTATAAGTGTCAAAACGACACTGGGTAAACGAACAAATTAGTAATAGTAATAACTTTATTTAACGAGGGTAAAGACATTGATTACTGGTCACCCAGTAGTTTTCATAATGGCCCTCCTACAATTAAAGTAATAAAAAGTATCGATTATTTAATTAACTACCAATATAATCTACCAACTAAAATTACATAATAAACTACTATTAATACAATATTGATTAATTGACTACTAATGAAACTAAAAGGTTTTACAAATCTTAAAATGATCAAGAGAAGAAATCAAACTACGGTAAAGTTTAAATAAGTAATTTTTAAAATTAGTGCAGAGATAGATATTATTTTATTGTGTTTCAGTTTTAGGAGCTTTGTATGTATTGCTATATTGGTATTATTTTTTCCATTGCTCTTATTGCTTTTGAGTTGATCTTCCCGGTTACGTAGGGGTTTCTTAGCTATCCTTAAGTTTTTTTAATGAAAATTTAAAATAGTCGGCAGTCCCAAATACAAACAACAAAAACAAAAACTTCAAGACTGTGCGTTACCTGTTGTCGAGGTATCGGCTTTGATTTCTTTTCCTCTGCCAATGTCATATGCCCTCCATGCTTTGATATCACCTTCTGTAAACTCAAAGTTGTTGAGTTTACTGACATTGTGGATCTTCGCTGGTTCGCTGATTGGTGATGCCGTTGTGATTGCAGCCAGACACGCTACGCGGACGCCATCAATTACTCCATGTGAGACAAGAGCGTCTTTTAATTGAGTGGCATTCGTGACATCATGGCCTTCATTGATGAAAATGCGCACGTGAGCCTTACATGTGGCTGCAAGGCGATCTGCAGCTCCCTTACCGCCTTGTGGATCACTGAAATCAATGCGTCTGATCTGGACTCCTGTAGAACTCGAAACTACAGGGCACGCAAGGATCGTTGCGGACGAATGATAGCATCCAGCGTTGTCCTGCCGAAAATAGGCCTTCGTTACGTTTGGATACTCGGATTTGATAGAGCGAAGCACATCCTGCATGATTGATATCACAGAGGTACTGTCCTGACTGCATGACTGGATGATGTGAACATATCCTTGCCACTGTAACTGACTGTCAGATCTTCTATAGACCACGGAAATGTGCCAAGATATGCCACGCTTTCCGAACCAGTCAGACTGCGATTCTCGGTACCTCTGTGGTAGAAACTTCATCGCCCAGTCGTTGACAATGAGTACTGTCTCATTGTCAAGAAGGTCAAGAAAGTCCAGTCGCGCTTGGTCTTGGTTAAATGATCGTAATATGTGGCACTGCCATGAACGGATGGCAAGCTTCGATGACTGCATAATGTAAATCGCTTCTTCACGCTCGTCATCAGATGAAAAATGGCAACAGTTAATGCGACTGTCAATTTCCCTTAAAGTTTCGTTTAGCGCTTCACACTGCTCACAGATATCTTCGTGATTGTGTTGGCACTACACCTGGTAGTCTGGATTGCTAGCATCGCTCAATGAAAACGCTACACAGTGATCTGGTATGCTAGCTTCCTTCTCCAAATGCACCTGCAAACAAATCAATTCATTGCAAAAGCAATAAGCCTCATTTAATCAACTTATTTCGGGCGATCACCTACACTCCACAACAGCGGTTCATATTTTTTGCGCCTGTATGTGCTTGCTACCCAAGTTATACGCTTTTCACACAAACGTTTTCCCACATGGGATGAGGATATAGCGATACTCAAGCTTACCTCACCTATTGATATAATTAATGTGCCAACAAGAAGTGCATTACCCTGGGTACCAGGGTTTTTTTCCGCGCGCGGAGGGCCTGCGGGAATCCTCGGCGTCGGCCGACGGCCGAAGTCTTGAGAAAAATGCGGCTCACTGTTAAGGCTTTACAGAAACCGGAAACCAGGCAAGAAAAGTCTCTTCCAGGGTAGAAGCGCTTTGGTTCTTGTAACAAAAGACTATTTTGTTTCACTCGTTACAAATTACAATGTTTCTAAACAATGATGTCTCCAGTATCTTATAGGTAACTAACGATTAGGCGGGAACTGAGGTGAAATGTACCTATACTTATCAATACTCCAAATTTATTGATGCATTAACCATCAAATTTTTCTGTTTGCTTAAAACATACCTTGTAGTCTCCTTTTAGATAAAGCTTAGCAGCTTTGAGCGACTCGATCATTCGTCTTTCCCAATCCATGTCACTTTCCACTTCATTTATTTTACGCACCAGCGATATCAGGTCATCAAATGCTCGTGTACCATCCGCGGCATAGTAATCGAGTCCCTAAAGAGACTTTCTTACTGACGCACTGCATTGAGACAAAACGCGCAACATCGTGCTTTGACTAAAAGGCTTAAAGCCAGTCTCTTGACAGTACTGAGTATATTGACGCACGATTCGTTGAGGTATCATGGTTCTTATCACGTTGGGGACTTTAATGACTTCACCCGTCGAAAGAGTCAACTGTTTCTGTCCGAACGGAAGATCTTGTACTAAGTGTGGGCTTGTGATAAAGCACAGAAAATGATCTAACTGTTTTAGATCTACTTTTATTCTTGTTGACACCCGAGGAGGTATAGGTGCCTCTCGACCAAACTGAAGGCGGTGCAGATTTGCCATAGAGTACCGGTACCTTGTTAGCCCTGGAATGAAAGTGGCTAAAATTTTTAAACCAGCAACACCAGTCATTACAGAAAGGATTTGTCGGCGGGTATCCCAGCTATCGGCATTATTATACGCTTCTGTTAGGGCTTCTAGGTAACGCTGATCTGCTTGTGAGATATCTTCAATACCAAGCAACTTATTCATGGAAGCTGTTGATGTCATGGCTCTCCAAATAAGGCCAGCGTCTTTGGGAGAAATTGTTTTTAGCACTGCAGCTACGAAGTCGCTTGATCTTCTTGTATACCTTTGTTTAGTGGATTCACTGCAACCGCTAAACTCCAACCATTTTCTTTGAAGCGGCGGTATATTCCAAGCCACCAAGAACTCATTCAGAAGGCTACGCTGCATTTCTGCGGCTGTTGCTTGGGAGGGAACAATTTCATCGCTTTGAGTAGACGTTGTGCTCCTGGTTTCAGGGCTTAAAAAGGCCTCATCGGCAATTTCTAACTTGCTTAATGCACCAAGGACAGCACTAGAGACATCACTGTCTGCAGATGTCGACTCCTCAGTTTCCTACACATTTAAAATAAATAAAAAATTAGAGAATCCTTTTAATTCCCATTACAGTTTAAACCAGTTTGCCGCATTTTTCGATTTTGTAAGGATAAGAGGATAATACAGTTTGAAAAAAAAAAAACGCATCGAAGACGCAGGTGAACAATTTGCTCGTTTGATGGCACTTTATTCACAGCTTTTTGCTTCTTTAAGTTTGATTGGGTTGAAGTTCAGCCTTTCAGCCTCGGCCGAATTCACCTTCCTCGGTCTGCCTAAAATCATTTCTTTTGGTGCTTCATGCGTTACAGGAACTGGCTTACGCTTAGTGGCAACCTCGACTCGACCCCAGTAATTCTCAATTGACCTTTCTTTTTCTGGCGTCTTTCCTGTGATATTGACATCTTTTTCCAGATATCACAATCGTCGTCAATGTTTGCTTTTTACAAAGAATAAGCGGGGAGGTTGGGTGGGGGTGGGGGCGGGGAGGTTGGGTGGGGGTAGGGGCGGGGGGGTTTGAGTCAATCAATAACGGAGAAATATTTTGAGTAAATAACCTATTTTATGGGCTTATCAACATACCAGCCTTGTATCACCAGTTTCCAAGATTCCTTCTAAATTCTTTACTTCATCCCCACTTTCCACAGATCCTTCTAACTTCTCCTCTTCAGCTTTAGCTTCCTTAGGTCCTTCTGATCCCTTCTCTATTGCTCCAGCGCCCACTAGACGTTTTTCCTCTTCCCTCGTCAGATGTCCAAAGCAAGTCGAGCAAATAGCTAATGTGAAATAATAGTATGTTAGAAAATCCTCGATTAAGGCCCCTAGGGGTGGCTTAATAGAGATGGGGGACTTACCCCCCTGAGGGGTGGCTTAATAGAGATGGGGTTCTTCTTATGGGCTCCTGAACTTGGTATCAGTTTTCCATAAAGAACTCAAATGCAATGTGCAAAAGCTCAAGCGCAGGAAGTTGAAGGTCATGCGGCCGAGAATCAAAAACAAACCCCGAACTTCCAGCTGGTGAATAAACCACCCCTGTATTCCATCACTTCCTTACCCAGCCGCTGTTTGTTACTAACAGAGTCAGACCGTTCAATCTCTCCTAAGAATTTCAGTAAAATTACAAGACATAACGTAAAAATCACTTACGCGATCCAACAACAATTAGCTGGCCTGTTTCCTTCAAAATAAGTGAAGATAGTTGACTGCTTATTCTGCGTGTTCCTTTTACTTTTGCTGACTTATGTGCGATCATTGGGCTTGGAACCGAACACATAGTTTTCCCTGTTCTCCATCTTATACCATATTCCGCCCGATGACGGGGACATATAGTTATAAGGTCATGAGACACATCCGGCGAAAAAATTCCTGATTAGAAAAAACCTTCGGAATTAGAATTGTGTTAGGTGCTGACAGAACATCAAAACAAAGTAAAATTCAACCACTTGTCGTTTACTGACCTGCACGAGCTAGTAGCAGTTTCCTTTCACTTTCCAACGATGGATCTTCACTGAGGCCATACATTTCCAGATGTCTCGTGATCTCTCGTTCGCATTTACCAAGAGGTATACATTCGTATTGACCAGGATATTCCTGGCTAACACCGCATTTAAAATTTCCATCAACAAGAGTCGAAAAAGTACACAACATTTTTTTCTTTCCACGCACGTTCGTTATACACGCTGTAGGTTATACGATGTGTCGATTATGCAAGGCAGTTCTTTTTAGATTTCGACATACTGTACAGAATTAGGTGATTACGTGTACACGGGAAAGATTGCGTGAGCGGCTGCAGAGTAATTTATTCAAATCACCATACACGTAACTTGACACCAAGTTAGGAGAACCAACATTTGGCGCCGAAATCTTTTTACGGACGTATACTACAGATTACAATTTTCAGTTAGTCGCTAGTTTAAAGTCATTTTATTCAGGTAACCTTAAGAGCCTTACATCACGAGAAAGATATGAACACTTGCTAACACTGTGACTGGGTGGAGGGTATTACAGTAGTTTCTACAAATCCTGGACGAACGTCGAAAACCAATATTCGTGTTTCGTAATCTCAAAGCTTAAAGGTGGATGTCTGTTGAGGACCCTTCAGGAAGGTGTGTTCACCATTATTGTAAATGTTTGCTTTGAAATACTTGCATCTTAAAGCCTTTTGGCTTTGGGCACGAACAATCTCTTTTATTTGGGAAACAATTATTACGGTCCGCTTAGTGTTTGTTTGTGGTCTTGATAGCCGCTGTAATTCCATTTTGTTGAGAGGTCCGGATTTACAATAGTTTTGACTTGGATTTCATAGTTCATTTTTATCTAAGTAACTTTTTTTTCCTGACATAGTTTGGCCAATGGGGTTTTGAAGTTGACAGAAATGATTGATAGACCGAACGCCTGTTACTTCAGTACCGGGAATTTACCCGATCAAAATTTGTGAGCAATTGCATTTGGCCCATCACTCTTTTTTATTTTTTTCCTTGTTTTAGATTATTCGATGAACAATTACGCTTTAGTAGCTTCCCAGGTACCAATAATTGATTAGATAACGGAATTTTCATCAATTTTTTGCGCTTTGATGTACTAACTATAACTTCCGTTTGATTTTCTACTCGATTTGCATATGTTTCCTTTGTTTACATTCCCGTTCTTGTCGCGGACAGGCGACTTGGGGGGCACAAGTTAAAATTTTATTTCTCGCAAGCGTTTAAATTCGCAGACCTAAAACTTCAGGTGTAATTAAAAGAATAACAGGTTTTTCGTTTGGTATAGTATTTTTTTCAATTTGTGACATACCAGGATCGACTTTTGACGGTTGAAGTTGGGCGTTTTTTTGACGGCCAAAGCAACACACAATCAGAGCGCACACAATAAAAGCCAGAAACTATATTAAAATAGTAATTTTGCAAAACCTTTTTACGCGGTCTTAAAGCTGTGGATGTCTGCTAAATACATGAGCAATATCAAGTCAATAGGAGCTTTTGCGCGCTTGTACTGTTTCGTTGAAATCTGTTGAAATTTGCACCCATTTTCTGAATTAAAAAATGTATTTTTTGCGAATTTTGGAACTTTTCTAAAATTCTCAAAATGTAAAGCGCTTGGGGATTTCTTAATATCATTTCTTGAAAGACTTTCCCTAAAGGGATGTTTGGGTGGTATCAGCCAAAATTGGAATTTTTGGAACTGATTTGAGATTCGCGATATTTTCCGACATTGGCTCTTAAAACGAGATATGCTAGATTACTGTAGTGAAGTACTAAAGTGTGACGTCATAAAAATTAAATTTCTGAAATTATGGGATTTGTCAGGATATTCTGAAAGAACAATGTCCAAGAGGCCTACTCGCCAAAAATGAGCATTTCGGGGCAAATTTTCTCTGAGATCGTAGCCCAGTTATACTTAAAAAACTCCATACAAACCCTTCTAAATTTTTTGGGGTCGACCCAAAAGATCAATAATAAGTCGTGGGGAGAGGGGTAGTATGGAAGCATAGGGGCTTTTTTTTAAACAAAATTGATGGTCGATCTGAGTTCTGAAATTCATTGTTATGGTGTTGTCCGTGTTGTTGCCAACCGGCGTAGGTGGATCGATTCAGTTTGGTGATCAATATGATTCACTTTTACACTGTACACAGGAAATTATTATTTAATTGTCAAAAGTTAACTCAAGCATTGACTCTGCTCCAGTGCAGGGGGTTCATTAAGGGCCGGGCACCGGGCAAATTGACCGGCTGTGAACACGACTTTGCCCGGCTGCTTTACATCTCAAAGAACTTCTTTTTAATACAAGGAACGATCAATAACAGTTTTAAGTTACAATCGTGCCCATTTCTTGATGAGTCTTATCGAGTGTAAAACATACTTTGCCGTGCAATTTCCACTTTATTACACGCGGCATGAAATCCCCTCGTTCTTTGTGTGTTAAAAACAAGAATCGCCCCATAACACATTGCGAAAAGAACTGTGCTTCATAAACGACCACCTGAAATGTATCAGTGTTGCGAGCACGTGAGCATGGCGGCCCAGAAAAGAACGCGTTCGATAGCGTATTATTTTTCGGCTTCAACCAAAGGGCCTCCAGTAGAGAAAAGACCAAGAGATGAGTAGACTTCTTTGTGATTTAACCTTTTACTTGCCTGTATATATTGAATGGCTTAATCATCATGTTCAACGAAGCGAAGCGTGATTTTTATTCGTCTTATGGTTTACGCCAATGAATTAATTTTCGGTGCGTTCACGTTAAAACAGTGCTCCTCCCGTCTAGTCATTGAAATTTTAAAGATAAGTTGATTACGGCTCAGATGCTGACGGTGAATTTGAGTAAAGCTTATTACGAGCAGAGCTATTAAAAGAGAACCAAAAAGTCCAATTTGTGTGGTGGGTATTGGTGTCAAATCATGATTAAATTGTCTAGAAAAGTTATCTTTTTTTGGTTGTTGAAAGTCATTGTCTGCAGCTTCAAAATGCAGGAAAACACATCCTTAGGACTATAGAATTTCAAAATTTTCCGGGGGAGCATGCCCCCGGACCCCCCTAGAGGGCAAGGCCCTCCGGGCCTTGCCAATTCTTTGCCCGGGTGTCAAACTCAGTTGCCCTCCTGTTCAAAACCTTAATGAACCCCCTGCCAGTGCGAATTCGGCTTCTTTAGCAGAAGTATTCAAACCTTGCTAAAAGCTGTAGAAAAGGGTAAAAGAAAGAGGATGCAGGTTGACATTAAATATTTCCCTTTTATCCCATCTCTGTCAAGTGTAAGTGTAATGTGATGCGAAAAAAGTGTGCGAAAAAAGAAATAATCGCCCCTAGCTATTATTCGAGGAATACGGTAACTTAAAATGCAAATCGGTGAATAATTCGGATTAAGCCACGGTTGGATAGTAAGGGGTAACCCCCTCATTATATGCATGCTTGCTAACAGATTCCTAACTGCAGTGTTTTTTAGCCTGTTAGAATTGGTTTTACTATTTGTTATAAGTGTATGATGTTTTGACAAGTAAGTTGTTGACGATTTCTATCATTTACTCATCTTAAAAGAGGACAGTAAATTTAAGTTGTTTTTTTAATTATTATATTTTGTTCATCATAAGGTGTCCAATGCAAAAGCCATTCACAATAACACAGGAAGTTTCTGTCAAAAGTGTAGTGAACCATTGAATGTGCATCAATCAAATTTGGCTTTATTGGTATCTACTCTCTGTATGTTTTATTATTTCATGCTGTCTGTTGCAGATTGTTTTGTTCATGAGTCAGTTCTACAGTTTATCCTCGGACAGCATAGACAAGTGAGTTTTGTAGTATGGTGCAAAGTGATCCGTTTAGTTGAAAGAATGAATGATCTGAAGCAAATAACGGACTGTGTTCTTTTTCCCTTAATTATAGACATGCTTGACGCGACACAAGAACACAAATCGACTGAGTAACTATTGATAAAGGTTTGTCATTATGGTGTCAGGGGCAAGCAACGTTAATTTTCGGAAAATATCTCTTCGGAAGACGATTTGAGATCTAGAATTTTCGGAACATTTGTTGTAAAATTTCTTGTTTGCCTGCCTCTCCTAGGATTTTCGAACTTCTAAAAAATTCCATTTTTAACGGATTTTTACCCTAAAAAGGTCACCTAGAATTTCCGGGAGCCTTTTTTCTGACTGAAATTTTCGAAAAGGTAAGTTTTGATCCCTATAATTTTCGAATCACTAGACTTTCAGCTAGGAAATCCGGACAGATAAAAAATTTTTAGGGGATATAAATATGCCTATATCTACCGGTTAAATACTAAAACACGTTCAACAATGCTATGTTTAAGCTTAAGTGGTATTGAACTATATTCTCGTTGGGTGCCCCTGATTACGTAGACATTGTTTGCGCATTATTGATCTTATCATGGACAGGCAATCTTACAGCGATGTTTGTAGAAAGGGGCCTTGCTTAGACGAAATGTTTTTGAATCATTTACAAAGTAAAGGAATGCAAAAGCAGATGATAGTTATAGGGGAAAGTCTCTTTGACTAAATATAGTTTCTAATTTAATTTGGGTGCCACAGACTGAGGTTCTGTAATAATAATAATAATAAAAAAAATTATAAAAATTAAATGCCTTTCTAAAAGACTGCTTTAAAACACGATATCCTAGTTTACTGTCATTGCAGTCTGAGATAGCTAGGACGCACCCAATAAAGCCAAAGCGTGGAGAATAATTCGAGAAAAGCCTTGGCGTCGCAATTGACTTTACAACTCTTAAATTTGGCACGTGAGTTCTTACATAGCTAATATTTCTTAGATCATTACGCTGACAAACCAATAAAAATTCTAGGAGAAGACATTTTTGAAATAACTTGTAAACAAAGTGGATTTATTGTTCACTTCATTCAGACGTCATCACATATTTAAAATAAGTTTCTATCTGTCGATATTTGCCCATACTTGTTTTGTATAATCCAGTTTCACTAAAATTTTGAGCTATTCGCAACTGACAGTTCCGGAAAATACAGAAAAAATCAATAAAATAAGCTTTGAATCGAAGATGAGCAAAATTTACAAATTAAGCTTAATATTAATGCATTTGAACAGAAACTTGAATACAGCTTTTTATGCAGGTATAGCTGTCAGCTGTGAAAAAGAATACTTCAAAGTGTTTATGAAAATAAGCCTTTTGTGGTATTTTCAGCATGGAGAAGAGAGAGAAAAAAATGCGTAGCGGGCCATGAAAGCGATAAATTGATCGAGTCGTACAGTGCACAACCAGCAATAGTTCGAGTCATCTTCCATTACAGGGTTGTCACTAAGATTTCAAGTTGCCGGTTATTTGTTGTTAGTAGCCGGGGAGGTCGCAAGCAGTCATGGAGCATCCACCCCCCTTTAAGAAGTTTTTTAAGTGCAACGTCTGCCGTTTTCCAAAAGGCATTACCGCCCCCAAAAAGCAATCTTCATCAAGGGTACAGCTATCTTTAGCGGTTTTATGATGATCACATCTTTATCAAAGAAAACTTCAACATTCTGAGACACTAAAATAACAAGTTTTTACTTTACGCAAAGGCTCGTTAGAGGGTTTTTTTATTGGCCGCCAAATGGGAATATACATGTAAGCACCAGGTCTGAAAAAAAATGACAGGTAAGCACCGGTCACGTTATCCGTGCAGTCTTATCTTCACGTAGACAAGGCGCATGCTGGTCACGATACTTAACAAATGTTAAAAATGTGGAAAGGACAATCGATTCTTATATGGCAGGGCTGCAAATAACGGCCGGTCAACGGACAACGTCCGGCCTGATCGTGGACTTGACCGGTCAAACTCTGGTCTTGCCGGACATTTTGACCGGTCATTTTTGGATATAAACATTTTATTTTCAATAGAGTTGTCGCTTAATGCTCTATAACGCTGCAATGATTTCTTTTTTCTTTGGCGTTTTTTGCTGCTTTGCACTAAACCCTTCTAAGAAAAAGAACACCGCAATAAATTAATTTCATGTCGTCATGTCATAATGAAACGCAACAAAGTGAATAACAAACTGAGTTAAAAAGTAACGCAACGTTGCAAGTCGTACTGTACTTTCGGCTTTGCTGTAATCAGCAATGTGACCTTCTTCACTTCTTTGGGAATTCGAAGGAATTCAGGCAAATCGATTGCAATTCTCAACAGGTCGTCCTGTGTTTCTCCGGGAATAAATGTTAGCGCATCGATTAATAATAATTTCTTTTATGTCGAACATGAATCTCGTTTGCAGACTCGATTCCAGAATGGTCTGATAAAAATTTAAGCTACTCAAGAGGGAAGGTCGTCGTCTATCGCGGCGCTAGATTCTCGTTCTTGTAAACAACTTTATGCAAATTTCTGTTGACATTTGAGCCCTTCGCGATAAAATGTTGCGCGATGACCCAAATTTATTTATTGACTTCTGATCATCAACACGCTGTTTGTGGAACAAACTTCTCGCCAATGCAAATCAACGTCTTTGCCGAAAATATCAACGACGATTCTTCTTTGAGGAAGTGACTTTCGATCACGTGCCAGGCAAGGAAAAAGATCAAGTTTCACCGATGTTCATTTCGGAACATCAACGTAAAACAAGCGTGTGCAGATTTTGTAAAATAACCCAATTTTTTTGTTTTTTTTTTTCGTAATTTCTAAAGGTTGCTGAACTGTATGTGTATTCCATTTCCTGAACCTTGGGAGTTTGAAAAGGATTTAAACTTCACTTTTTACCTCAAGAGACTTCAGACACCGCCATGCAATGATACTCAAGGTAGAACGTAACACGAAAACGCGAAAACCGCGGAAAGGAACTCTACAACGTGCGAATGCATTTTTCACCAATTTGCTGTCAAAAATGTGAACGTCAATGTAGTAATAACGATCTATTGCCAGCATAATTGGATATTCCTTAGGCAAAAAAAATTTATTAGTATTCATTATTTGACCGGCCAGAATCGGGGTTTGTCCGGGCTTAAAAATATTTGGCCGGTCATCATGACCGGCAACCTGCTGTCCGTTATTTGCAGCCCTGTATGGTGCAACTGAATTAACATGCGCTGTAAAACCAATTGTAAATCCTCATTTAGTTATACGTAAGAACGAAACAACTTACGGAAAACAAAAGTAAAACTAATATGACAAATGAATTAACCCACGGAGAAGCGGAAAGAAGACAAGCGGACGATGAATGTACGAAAAAGGATCATAAACGTAAGGTTACTATGGTTTGTGGAAAAATAAAAGTATGATAAGGCAAAACAACTAGCGTAACGTACGAAAAATCGCGGGATAAAATATGGCAAAACTAAACTGCACAACTGGTAACATTAGTGGTCTCGAATTTATGAACGAAACATCACTTAACATTCGAAGAAACTGACCTACAGAAAAGCGTTTAAAACGGACAAGGCTAATACTTTATAAACGACGCTGAGATGTCAAAACGAGACTCAAGGAGAAGAATGCAAAAGTAATGCTAATGCTAAACTTCCCTTTTATATATAACTTCTTGGAAGTAGAACTGAGAGGATGTGATCATGACCTGCGGAAAATGATCGAACATTTCCCGTTGACCGTGCGTTATTTTATATACTCGATTCCTAAAGCTAAATGTAGACCTGGTCACTTAAATGTCAATTTATTAAACATAGCAATCAGTCATAGTCTTCATCTTCAAAGCCTTCATCATAATCCTCATTATCATCAACATCAGCATCAGGGAGATTTAATGCTCGGATGAAGCCTCAACTTCTTCTGTGATGTCAACAGAGATCTGCTCAGGTCTTTCATCGTGAACAAAGAGTGCAGATTCCTTTGCCACTTCTTCGACATGTTCAACAAAAAGCCAACACAACGGTTGAAACTTTTAGCATCGACAAAGGTGACGGCAGCGAAAACGTCACTTTTAAAATGACTAAAATGAATTGGCGTTTTTTCCAACTTTGTCACGTTTATTTCAATTCTCTTAGAATAGCTTACGTAGGCCAATTTCTCTGGAGTTGATTTCTTTGGGACCGCACTCTAGTTTAGAAAGAGAAAGAAAAGTTTGTCGTCGCTTGTTTACGTCCTCCGTAAAACGTGAAACAAGATTTTGACGTCGTAGTCGTGCAGTAACGGCAAAGAAATGTACAAAAAAGCGTGATGCACGTGCAAACTAGTTGTTTTGCTCGTCTAAGTCAGATGTCTTTTTCCGACATTTCTTAGTTTTTGCACGCGAGTATTTCAAAATTATTTAAACCTGCTGCAGATGAAACTTGCATTTAGTTTGATGGATAGTCTGGTGTGCTCTTTTGGTTTAATCTAAAGTAGCCGGGGGCCATGCTCTGAGTAGCCGGGGGAAATCTCCGGCCCCCGGCCCTTAGTGACAACCCTGCATTAGCAGGCGATTTATGAGCTTAACTCATGTAAATTCCGGCAAGTTCAACCTGTTCTTACAGATGGGCCTCATTATTTATTCTTTCTTTTCTTTCTATGACTTCCTGAGCTTCCATCCGCAGCAACAAATTCAGGTTTTGCCAACAGCCCACTAATGTAAAACTTAAATCATTTTCTGTGTTTCACAGTTGCAATTACTTTTCTAGCCCGCCCTTACAGCGGCAGTTAGTGATATGGTTGGATTCTCTTTACTTATCCATTAGGAACTGTTTTTTGAGTAGTTTTCAAATAGTGCTGTCGGTAAAATATAAACTAAAGGGGCTGCTTTTTCGAGTTTTGATCTATGGGGCGTTGCGAGAGTTCATTTGACATGACAGCCTGTCAATCCCTTGTCCATTCACCGGTTTCAATGATAAAAAAAAATCAACCAATCGATGTACTTGTTTGCGTCATTCGCAAGCGCGCTCACCTCTTGTTTTTGTTTTTCTTTCTCTTCCAACATGTAAATAGAGAAGTAGAAAATGTCCATTTTTCGGACAATCTCTCAGCCGTGGGCATTATCCTCCTATAGACTAGCCGCCGGAAGGGGGTTATTTACTAATTATGCGTGTGGTTTTAGCCAATCAGAAACGGAGAGATATTTTGAATGAATAATAATTCACCATAACTAGCTGCCGTTGACCAAATTTGGAAAGAATTCCGTCATATTGAACCGATAACGTCAAAATGGTCTCAAAAGTGCAGTCTGGTTGCAGGTTATTGAACCGTTGACCGGGAAAACCTGGAGACGAGGTTGAGTTGTTTTGGTAGTTAAAACAAAATGGCGGAACTGTCGCGGAACATTTTACTCGTTTCACGGCGATATATTTTCTAAAAACTTCTCAAGAACAGCAAGAAGACAACTCGACGACAACATCTGCTATTTGGAGCATATTTGTAAACCTGAGCAGACCTTAATTTCCTAAAATTCCGGCGATAAAGATCCATTACCGATATTAACGTTCATCGACCGAGGTTAGCATGTTTCAGCTTGTTTTTAAACTTGGAATTATTTTGAAGGAACAATAAAACCATTATTGAATTTGGCTTTCGTAGGATATGAAGAATTCTGCAGATCTCGGAGGGTGGATAACACTCGCATCTACATAATCATTCATATCCTACTCAGCCTCATTCAATAATTGCTAAATATTCATACATTACATGCTAAATTTAAGAGCACCTTTATAAAGTGGTCAACCTCTATGGGAGTACCTCTATACAACAGCCAGAATCCTTCATTCCATTGCTTTCTGGTGCAAATTAGGGGTATTGTTTTTTAAACCTCACGGGGATCGATAACTTTAAAAGAAAGCAAGAACGAAATGAATTGTGGTAGTTATAGCATGTAGGATTTCTTTGGGGTGGGTAGCGATTTCTACACTGATTTTTTTCTTTCGCTAATCTTTCTACTAGATCCCAATTCAGCATGGAGTATACTCCACAACAGCTAAACTACTTCAGAACATGTTATATCGCCTTTAACTTGGTCCCAAAAGGACTTCGGAAAGTCTTCAAACAAGAGTGGAATTTCCTTTACATGACAACTCCATTTGGGGAATGGAAAGACATTCCACAAAATGGCAGCGATTTCTACAACAACGAAACGGGGAAAAGTCGCAAAAAGAATGCTCGATATTTTGCGACAATACAAAAGGGAAACACAGCAGAGTGGGACTGCAGTTGTCTACTTTTTGCGATATTGTCCTCGGATAGTATTGGCACCACTCTGAGTTCGACAATTAGAAAAGAAGTCGATGATCTTCGACAGGTGCGAAACGACATCGCTCACATAAACGAGGTTGAACTTACTGATGCTGAATTCAAAAATTATGTAGCAAGAGTGATAGCTGCATTTTCATCTTTGAAACTCTCAACTGATGAAATCGAAGATGTTAAAAACCAGAGCAGCTTTCCCACAGCAGAAGTAAAAAGCATAAAGCTTAAGGCTGATGGACTTAAAGCTGATTTAAAAGCGAAAAATGAAGAAGTTAAAAATCTAAACTCCGACTTACAATTGACCCAAGACGCATTACAGACCAAGCAGGAAGAAGTAGAGATCCTTACTCGGGAAATCAATTCCAAAGTCGAGTCTTTCTGTAGTCTTACTTTCAAGCCAACGCACCAAATCATCAGACGTTCCAACGATGTCACAAGAATCAAGAACAAGCTGGAGGAACTTTATAGTGAAAGCAAAGGAGCTATCAGCATCATTTATTTATCAGGAATTCCGGGCTGTGGCAAAAGTCAAATCGCTCGTCAAGTGGGACAAGAAGTCTATGACAAAAGTGTGCGAAAAGACGAAGGTCTAACATTTGTTTCAACTCTGAATGCAGAAACCCTTGACTCACTTGCCAACTCCTATTTCAATCTAGCTAAACAACTGGGAGTTACGGAATACGCTCTGACCAACCTAGCAACCTCCACGAAGATTGACTCAAGTGAAAAAATTCAACATTTGATGCGTTATATTTCTCCAAAGGTGAAACAATTTTCTGCCTGGCTGATTATTGTGGATAATGTTGTTGACCTATCCGTGGTTCGTAGTTATCTTCCTCCAACCGCCAGTGAAGAGTGGGGTCATGGTCAGATGCTAGTAACTACTCAAGATGCTCAGTCAATACCCTTCAATTCCCCTCATACTTACCATGAGTCTCTCAGTAAAGGAATGCACCCAGCTGATGCAGTGGCCCTTTTAAGAGAAGTGTCCCAAATTTCGAATCAACAACAAGCTGAGGAGGTTGCTGAAGTTCTCGAGTATCAGCCACTTGCCTTGGCAGCTGCTGCAGTCTACGTGCAAACAATTGTGGGCTATGGTACCCCTAATTACGGTTGGACAAAATACCTGGAAACATTGAATAGCGAGGAACGCGAAGCCAGAGAAGAGCTTTTCGCGAAAAAAAACAGAGCCTATCCCAAAACAACGGCTACTGCAATCAGAATAGCAATAACTCGAGCTTTGGAAAGCGACGAAGTTCTTTGTGAAGTGTTTTGTTTGTTTTCACTGTGCACATCTGATTCTCTACCTATTGAGGCTGCAGTTGACTTTGTTAAATTTCGTAACAAACAACAAAAAGAAGAATTTATCAGAGCTAAAATTCTGGAATCCACCATGATAACTTGCTTGTATGATGTTGACGGCACACCCACTTACTTAAGAGTACATAACGTTGTTCATGAAGTGCTTAAGTCCACTGTAACATCTGTCCTGAACCGCACGCGCAAAGCTGAGTACTTTTCTATCGCTGTTAAGATTTTCAGTTCATTAATTGAAGACAACAGGAAGCTGCTACTTGCAAGTGAGAGTGCGTGCATAAAGTTAAGACTAACTACCAGTCATTGTAAAGAATTATATCAACATTTCAAGACTAATTTTACCGACACAGAATTAACAAATGATGAATTATTCCCCTCCATAGCTCCTAGAAATTTAGTATCCTGGCTTTCCTCGACTGCTGAAGTTAGTCACGCCTTGAGTAATATATCGGACGCTCACCTCTTTTGTACATTATTCTCTGATTTTGTAAATTATCTTGATGACGAGCTAAGAGATAAGGTGGAAAAGGCGAATTATTTTCAAGTGCAAGGCCTTGTTTCCCAGGATCTTGACAAGTACAATCAGGCTAAAGAATACCATGAGAAGTCTCTTGCCATTAGAAAAGAGATTTATGGTGAACACCATGGTGACGTAGCGACAAGTTACAACAACCTGGGAAATATTTACAGTGCCCTTGGTCAGTACAATCAGGCTAAAGAATACTATGAGAAGTCTCTTGCCATTAGAAAAGAGATTTATGGTGAACACCATGGTGACATAGCGCAAAGTTACAACAATCTGGGACTTGTTTACAGTGACCTTGGTCAGTACAATCGGGCTAAAGAATACCATGAGAAGTCTCTTGCCATTAGAAAAGAGATTTATGGTGAACACCATGGTGACGTAGCGGCAAGTTACAACAACCTGGGAAATGTTTACCGTGCCCTTGGTCAGTACAATCAGGCTAAAGAATACCGTGAGAAGTCTCTTGCCATTAGAAAAGAGATTTATGGTGAACACCATGGTGACGTAGCGAGAAGTTACAACAACCTGGGAAATGTTTACAGTGACCTTGGTCAGTACAATCAGGCTAAAGAATACTATGAGAAGTCTCTTGCCATTAAAAAAGAGATTTATGGTGAACACCATGGTGACGTGGCGGGAAGTTACAACAACCTGGGAACTGTTTACAGTGACCTTGGTCAGTACAATCAGGCTAAAGAATACCATGAGAAGTCTCTTGCCATTAGAAAAGAGATTTATGGTGAACACCATGGTGACGTAGCGACAAGTTACAACAACCTGGGAACTGTTTACAGTGCCCTTGGTCAGTACAATCAGGCTAAAGAATACCATGAGAAGTCTCTTGCCATTAGAAAAGAGATTTATGGTGAACACCATGGTGACGTGGCGGGAAGTTACAACAACCTGGGAACTGTTTACAGTGACCTTGGTCAGTACAATCAGGCTAAAGAATACTATGAGAAGTCTCTTGCAATTACAAAAGAGATTTATGGTGAACACCATGGTGACGTAGCGACAAGTTACAACAACCTGGGACTTGTTTACCATGCCCTTGGTCAGTACAATCAGGCAAAAGAATACTATGAGAAGTCTCTTGCCATTAGAAAAGAGATTTATGGTGAACACCATGGTGGCGTAGCGACAGTTTACAACAGCCTGGAAACTGTTTACAGTCATCTTGGTCAATACAATCAGGCTAAAGAATACTGTGAAAAGTCTCTTGCCATTAGAAAAGAGATTTATGGTGAACACCATGGTGACGTAGCGACAAGTTACAACAACCTGGGAACTGTTTACAGGGGCCTTGGTCAGTACAATCAGGCTAAAGAATACTATGAGAAGTCTCTTGCCATTAAAAAAGAGATTTATGGTGAACACCATGGTGGCGTAGCGACAAGTTACAACAACCTGGGAAATGTTTACAGTGACCTTGGTCGGTACAATCAGGCTAAAGAATACTATGAGAAGTCTCTTGCCATTAGAAAAGAGATTTGTGGTGAACACCATGGTGACGTAGCGACAAGTTACAACAACCTGGGAACTGTTTACAGTGGCCTTGGTCAGTACAATCAGGCTAAAGAATACTATGAGAAGTCTCTTGCCATTAGAAAAGAGATTTGTGGTGAACGCCATGGTGACGTAGCGACAAGTTACAACAACCTGGGAACTGTTTACCGTGCCCTTGGTCAGTACAATCAGGCTAAAGAATACCATGAGAAGTCTCTTGCCATTAGAAAAGAGATTTATGGTGAACACCATGGTGACGTGGCGGGAAGTTACAACAACCTGGGAAATGTTTACAGTGACCTTGGTCAGTACAATCAGGCTAAAGAATACTATGAGAAGTCTCTTGCAATTACAAAAGAGATTTATGGTGAACACCATGGTGACGTAGCGACAAGTTACAACAACCTGGGACTTGTTTACAGGAAGCTCGAACTGTACAATCAGGCTAAAGAATACTGTGAGAAGTCTCTTGCCATTAATAAAATTATTTACGGCGAGGAGCATTCCTCTGTAGCGAACAGTTATTTCAACCTTGGCAATATCTATTGTAGCGTTAAACAGTATCCTGTTTCTGAAGAATGCTATGAAAAGGCTCTGAACATTTATAAAACCTTGTATGGCGAGCAGCATGCTGTTGTGAAAAGAACTTTCAACGAGTTAGGATTCGTTAAAAGGAAACAAAGAGAACTTAATCAAACTCGTAACAAATGTTGCATTGTGTAAGAATAGCACCTATACATTGGGGAACTTCTACCTATTCCACCAGAACTAGTAATTATACCTCACTTTGAGATCTTTGCGAGTCGCTCATTTGTTTATAGGTTAAGTTTTTTAAAAAACTAAGTATTTGAGCGATTTAAAAGCACCCCATTTAAATAAGCGTTCCCACACCCCATAATACCCCTCCCTGCTGAATATCCGATAATGGCAGTATGGATATCTTTCAATAAATTCAAGCGATGACACATCTCCTATAACACACCTTTTATGCACCCTATAGTCTCCTCATTCCCATCCCTATTTTGAATATCTTTTGTTTTTCATTTCTCCTGGCGCATTTGTAGTGTCAACATTTGCTCTGTTTCTTCTCCTCCTGAAGAAAAAAATGGGCTTTGAAAAGGCACCATTATCAAGAATAGGGTGTCTTATATTGCATCTTAAAGAAGCGGCAAAATTCTAAATGATGGCATCTATCATTTCTGCTGAATTGGCCACATTCTTTGGTGCAAATTCCATCAGCAATTAAATGTCTAGGCTCCATAATCTTTTTGAGGGAAGCAAAAACGTCGTTACAAAGAGAAGTAGTGTTGTTACAGAAAGGTGTTCTTCTTTTGCAAGAAAATCTGTACATGTTGTGAATTTTACTGGCCCAAAGCAAACTTGTTTTGTAGCCGGTGACGTGTATCGCGTTACTCACGCGTAATTTTATGAAATCCGAAGTCAATATTCAAGCAATGCCTGGTGTCCACCCTCGGAGACCCAGGGGCAGATAGTGGGGGCGAGGGAAAGTCTAAACGGGCGGAAAAACATGGCAAGAAGAAAAGTAAAGAACGGCGAGAAGAGCCCCTGGGGACAATGTCTTACCAGACCAGTTCCAAACGGTCGCCGCCGTTCTGACTTCTGATTGGTGCCAGAGAACTTTTTGAGCTTTTCCCCCGTTCTTTACTTTTCTTCGTGCCATGTTTTTCCGCCCGTTTAGACTTTCCCTCGCCCCCACTATCTGCCCCTGGGTCTCCGAGGATGCCAGGTGTCTTGATTGACATTATCTTGCTATTTTTTTTCTAGATAGAGTTTCTATAATATACGTTCCTAATGTAGAGTCTATGTACATTTTCATTAATATTGTTTTAATTATAATCAATCTAATGTACTTAGGGCAGCAACTATTTCGCAATGTACTGTAATAAATTATTAATATTATAATTATTGTACTTGTGCCTCTCTTCGCCCAGGTGAATAAATGGGTACTAGTGACATATTGCTGCAATAGGTGGTGGGGGGGAGGGGCTAGTAACACTGCGATGGACTATTTAAACTAGCATCCCATCCAGGGGGGAGTATGCTTAATGCTGCAAAAAGCTCGTTAACCTCCTGCTGTGTGGGGAGAGGCTAAAAACAAAAAAAAGGCTTTAGCCTCCTCCCCCCCACCTCCATCACTTTTTCAGAAAAAACAAAGACTTACTAAGAGGAGTTTCTCCTTAGCCTCCCCACTTCAAGTCATTAACAGCCCACCCTCCCCTCCGCTTGGGAAAATTGTTCGTCTTCTCTATTCCTTGGCTAGTGTCCGACTTAATGTACATTATTTGTTTATTTATGCAGTTACGTATATTAAGTGGTGGGGCTGAGCGGCATGTTTGTAGCCTCCCTTACCTTATTTTGCTTTAAAGTTATGTTTTTTTTTTCTCCCCCTATTTTTCAGTTCAGAACCAATCTTTGATACCCTATCTATTTCAGTCCACACAACGGTGGGCACTCTTATACATGTTTCAAGCTTCCAAAAGCAGCTGTGGGTTTGCATCAACATTTTTGTTAATAGTTTATTAAAACTCTCTTGCAGTAAAAAAAACTGAATTATCGAGTACATTTTACAATCTTAAGGCAACTATTATCTAGAGTATAGTAATTTACAGTTATAAGAATGATAATAACAATTGAATCACTTAAAATATTTAAAATTGAAGAAGTCCTCCACTCTCTCTGTTCTACAGACCTGCATGTTCCGGAAAAGATAATACTTATGTGTTTCTGCCTTAAGGTGTAGTTAGGCGCATCCAGAAGTGGGCTGGGAAGTAGGTGGTGCAGAGGGTGGCTGGGGGACTTCATTTTCGCCATATATTTGTAGCACAAGTGTACTCTTCTATCATGTAACCTATCTAGTTTACCTAACTGTAAGGCATGAGCATATGACTCTGCCTCGGGGTAGATTATGTTAAGCGCCCTTTTTTGCACTCGCTCTATGGCTTCGGACAGGTAAGCAGGGATGTCCTGCCAGACTTGTACAGCATACTCTAAAACTGGCCGGACTGTGCTAAGGTATATCCTCAAGATGTTGGGTTGGCTCACCCTGGTTTTGCAGAGAACTCTAAGGGAGTATAACTTCTTACAAGCTTTCTTAATAATGTAATCAACATGAGAGTTCTACTTCAAGTCATTGTCCATAATAACTCCTAAGATCTTATAGGTATTGACACGCTTGATGACATTGCCGCCAATTATTATCGGGTTAATGAGACAATTGGAGTTGCGTAGGAAATTAATATACATTTCTTTACACTTGGTTGGGTTGAGTCTCATATTATGAGGAATGGCGAAATTGTGAATGTCTGAGGCTACTACATTAAGAAAGCTAGGGAGTTCCTTGGAATTATTTCGAGAGCACTGGTATCATCGACGTATTTGATGCGCAGCCGCCAGTCAGACAGCAGTTTGTTTGTCATTACCGTAAAGAGGATCACACCCAGTTTAGTTCCTTGGGGCACTCCTCCTTTTAGTGTTAACCAATCTCACAGAGTTCTTCCGATTCCAACTGCTTGCTTCCGGTATGTCAAGAATGCCGCAATCCAAGATAAAAGTACAGGATGAACTTCAAGATCTACAAGTTCTTAAATCAATATTGAATGATTAATTATATCAAACCCCTTAGAAAAATCTGCGAAGAAAATCCGAGCCGACGCCTCACCACTATCAACTGCCTCGTAGATCGCTTGAAGCATATATATAAGGGCATCTGTAGTAGAATGCCCCTTGCGGGAGAACTGACAAGGGTCGTTCTTTTTTTCCAACTGGGGTAGGAGTCTGGAACAGGTAAAGCCCTCCATGACTTTTGCTAAAGTACAGGTAAGAGATATAGGTCTTAGATCTTGTTCAATAAGACCGGATGGAGACACCTTAGGGATAGGTGTAAAAATAGACGATTTCAGAAGAGCTGGTATGTACCCCTCCCTTAGAGACTGGTTGTAAATGTCACAAACGAGGGGAGCTAACTCCAAGGCAAAATCTTTCAGAATCCGGTTAGGTATCTTGTCAGGGCCGACTGCTTTCGATGTCTGAAGTGAGGACAAGGACTTGTATGCCTCATACTCTGAAATTAATAATTCATCAGGAACAGATAGCGGGGACACTCCCTGACACAGGGATGGTCAGTGAACCCAACAAAATAGCTATTGATCTTATTTGCTAAACGCTTGATATCTGTGTCTTTATCAAGGAACTGATGGTACCACTCCTGCTTAGCAACCTGGCCAACTAGCTTTTTTATTTCCCTCCACCATTTCGCGGGATTCACATGTTCGACCTCAGCAACCTTTTCCTGATAGTAGTGGTGTTTTGCTGTTTTTATTGCACCTTGAACTTTGTTTCTCCAATGACGATAGGCACCTGAGTCCTTTCTATGTCTAGAAAATGCAGATTGGCGTTTACCTATCCACATTTTGATCTTACTAGTTATCCAAGGGCGGTCAGTAGAGTGTTTCTTCATGATCTTCTGCGGGAGAAAAATGCTAATGGCGCCATCAAGCTCTGACATGAGCAGCTGGAACTTTTGCTCACACGAAAAATTATACGGATTATACGGATTTCTCAAGAAGGAAATAAAAAGTAAAAGGGGCGTTTTCTAAAATTCCTACCCAACTTCAGACCAAAACATTTATTAACCTACTTCAAAACACGATCAATAAATTAAAGCTACACCCAAGAACAAGATAGGCTCAAAACATACTACCTCTAATACCGCACACACTTAACAGACTTAAATAGACTATTTTCGGTTAATAGACTATTCACTTAATAGACTATTTTCGGTGAAAATAGCGACGCAGGTCATCATTTTTCGTTTCTACACCTCAAAATAAAAGAAAGGATGCAAATTCACCAAAAGGGTATTTGTATTGTGGGGAAAAAGTTTCTGTTTGAATAATCAGAGCTTTGAGAACCAAGACTTTGGGAAATATATATTCATTTGTATCGTATGTCATGGAAGAGCAGGTGATTCAATTTCCCGTGTTCCATGCATTTTCTCATATAAATTGATAAAAATACCTTGTCCACTAAACTTCCTCAGACTGCCATGCTTTTTCATCATTTGTGGGACATGATAAATCATGTTATGCACTTATGGTGTAATAATGATGGTCTGCATATATCCTGGGCCACTGCCAGACATGGCGACCATGTCCTTTCCCCAACTCAGTGCCTGCAGCAACTTAAACATAGGCACGTTAAACGTGCATGAGCTATTTTGAATGCTTCAGTGTAACCTTACCAAGAATGATGAATCTACCTTTTTCGTCCTAAATATAGTACAGGGGGTTCATTAAGGTTTTGAACAGGAGGGCAACTGAGTTTGACACCCGGGCAAAGAATTGGCAAGGCCCGGAGGGCCTTGCCCTCTAGGGGGGTCCGGGGGCATGCTCCCCCGGAAAATTTTGAAATTCTATAGTCCTAAGGATGTGTTTTCCTGCATTTTGAAGCTGCAGACAATGACTTTCAACAACCAAAAAAAGATAACTTTTCTAGACAATTTAATCATGATTTGACACCAATACCCACCACACAAATTGGACTTTTTGGTTCTCTTTTAATAGCTCTGCTCGTAATAAGCTTTACTCAAATTCACCGTCAGCATCTGAGCCGTAATCAACTTATCTTTAAAATTTCAATGACTAGACGGG